TGTAAGCGAAATGATCGTTTGATTGTACAGTTATTTCATAAAATTTTTCTTCATTGTAAACATAAACTCTTAAATTCTCATGTTGTATGCCATCATGTTCAAACGTGTACTCTTTTAAAAAAATAAAATAACTATTTCATGTAATATCTTTTTTAAATAAACGTTTTTGAACTTGTAAATATTGCCTTGTTTCTTACTCCTACCCCCCTTCAACCTCATTTACATTAGATACATTTTCCCCCATATTACAGACTCAAATGATGTACATTAAATACACTAGATATAGAAAGAATTTTTTTAAAAAGCAATGCTCGAAGACGACGCGCCGCAACGTGTTCGTTCCTGTTTGACCTCTCCCCAAAAATTCTTCCGAACAAAAGCAAGTCTCTCTCTAGGGCTACAAATTTTCCGTATAAGATTTCCTTTATCAGACATTCATCTAATCGCCTACACGTCGGAGACGTTGCCCTCCGTGACAACAAAAGCGACCGTCATATGATTAGACCGGTTTTCATTCCCCCACCCCCCCCTCTGTTCGTACTCTAGCCGCGCGACAAAGAATGCTGCAGTCCAAACCCCCACTCACCATTTTTCAAACCTCTATTTCGTCTAAGACCCTCTACCCCCACCCCCTCCAATCAAATCTTGGGCGAGTATAGGGCGAACCAATCAAATCTTGGGCAAGTATAGGGAGAGCCAATCAGAACGCTCCATTTCGACTGACTGACCCGGCTAGGCCACGCCCATGGCGCCAGAGGGAGACGTGGAGGGGGTTTGTTGTGACGCCCCATGGCTGCCCATATACTACTTATAGTGTTCTTGTTCAGACTTAGCAGCTGATTTTTTAAGTATAGTATCTAAAGGGTGTTTTTTTTAAGCCCGATAGAACTTACAACTGTAAAAACTAGCACAAAAATGCAATTATAATCAAAAATTTTTTTTTATTCGAAAGATCAATGTATGGCATTAACAATTGAAAATGATTTCGGGCATATGGCCACCGCGGCTGTTCTTGACGAAGCGCATTCTGGACGTCCAATTTTGAGTGACTTTTTCGAGCAGTGCCGGCCGTATATCACGAATAACACGAAGAATGTTGTCCTCCAAGGCGTCAATTGTTACTGGTTTATCAGCATAAACCAGTGACTTGACGTAGCCCCAGAGGAAATAATCGAGAGGGGTCAAATCGCATGACCTTGAAGGTCAATTGACAGTTCCATTTCTCGAAATCAACTTATCGCCAAATTTTGATTTCAATAAGTCGATGGTTGCGGTCGACGTGTGGCACGTAGCGCCATCCTGTTGAAACCACATCTCGTCCGGATCAATGTCATCCATATTTTCAAATAAAAAATCATTGATCATGGTGCGGTAACGATCTCCATTGACCGTAACGCGAGCTCCGGCCTCATTTTTGAAGAAATAAGGTCCGATGATGCCACCAGCGTGTAAACCGCACCAAACGGTGCATTTTTCTGGATGTAATGGAGTCTGTAGGATCTCTTGTGGATTGTTCTCATTCCATATGCGGCAATTTTGCTTATTAACAAACCCGTTAAGCCAAAAATGAGCCTCATCGCTGAACACAATTTGTCGATAAAACAACGGGTCAGTTGCCAACTGCTCTAGAGCCCAATCGGCGAAAGCCGATTCAAGCGTGAGTCTATTCATAATGATTTGCCAGTGTATACTGAAAGAAATAAAAAAAATTTTTTTATTAAAATTTAATTTTTTGTTTTATTTTTTACAATTTCAAGTTCTGTCGGGCTTAAAAAAACACCCTTTATATTGTTGTTTTTGTCTGTTGGTGGAGCTCTGTTGTTTTGCCGTTGTCTTCTAGATTTATTGTTTTATTTCTTCTTTTCTATTGTTCTTTAGCCATTGGGCATCCTCTATAACTTGCATGTTCTTCTCGGTAGTTTATACATTTAGGTTTTTGCACTTTTCTCATTTCTTTGTAGCATGCTTTCCTGTGCACTTAACACATGCAATGTCTCTTTGGCAGTAACTCTGTGTATGCCCAAAGGCATGGCAACGTTTACATTATGATATCATGTTATTATTTTTCTTTAGTGGTTCTATTTTAACACTTATTCCCAGTATAGATTTTATTTTGTAGATTTTTTCTATATTTTCCTTATTATGGAATGTGAGCATAAGTAGCAGCCCTCTTTTTTTGTATTGATTGCACGCTGCACTTATTTGTGATTATTTTTTTTTAATTATATTTTTGGTTTCAAAAATATTCAATCCCTTGTTGGTCAAATCTAAAATAATTTCGCTTTCGTCGCATGAGGAATGTAGGTCTCTAGCCATAACTTTTACAGATCTTGTAGATTTGTCTTCGTATTAGTGCCATTGTATTTTTCTTTTGGATAATTCTATTGAGAGTTCTCTGTATATTTCACTATTGGTAACATTTATTTTCCACACATTGTTATTGTATAAAGGAAATTTGCACTTCTTCTTTGTTATTTGTTGGATCATTTTCTTGAGTTCTCCAAATTGTTCTATTCCAGTGATAATTATGGGTGGAGGAACATGTTGTTTTTTGAAAATGTTTTTTCTTTTAGTGTTTGTTGTTTCTTCTACTTGTCTTGTGTTTGATATTTTGTTTCTACAGGGTGGGGCAAAAGTCCCGCTACCATTTTGATTGCCTATAACTTTGTTCAAAGAAAAGATAAGTCAGTTTGGTTTTCATACAATGTTTATTTGGTCTTTACATTTTTTTTGCGTTATGATTAGAAAAGAATATCGGCTAAATGGTGACCGCGATTCGCT